GAAATAGGTAAGGTGGCAGAACTTCCCTGGACTAACTCTTTCACAAGGAGCTCTATTGCTGGTCTATGTAGAAAATACTTTTACTTGTACTGTCCTTGTTTTAGATTTCCATAATAGGAGAGCTTTAGTTACTTATTTTGGGATCAGAGCAACGTATGTGATGTTGTCTAATATTTATCCAATTTATCTAAAATATTTTGACTTTCAAACAATACTAAAAGCTACAACTATGTGTAGTAATTTCATAATATGAATCAAGATGTAATTTAATAAACAATTTGGCAAAAATTCAGGACATCAGAGACAGAGAGTGTTTAACATTGGCGTACAATACCAAGTACTTTTAAACAATGACAAACTAGAAGAACATATTTTAGACAGATAATCAGGGTGTATAAGACCAAATGTTTGTATTGAGTATTCTGCAACAAGTGTGCATTTCCATGAGGTTTTCAATGTGTACACAATTTAATGTGAAAGTATTTCTCATTTATTTCATAGAACTATGACATCATAGAATAGTTAAGACTTTTTTGTTGTTTTAGGACAGAATAAACGTATCAATATTTATCCTATTGCTTTTATAAAACTACACTATGAAACTATTCAGTCATTTTCATCCTTGCTGTTCTATAATGAAATTTTGCTATTGGAATTTTGTTTATCAATTAAAAACCTCCATAAAATTAAACAAGGAGGTTTGCGATCACGAACTGATCTAAACTAGAGACGAAACGGATAGTGATTTACCCGGATACCGAATATTCGGCGAACAACTAGGCCGGATATCCGACCCACTGCCGTAAACGGTTTATAAAAAAATCGGTTTACAGCGCGCATCGCCATGATTGATTAATTAGGGAATGATTGCACTGTCATATTGACGATTTGATTTGTTATGGTCACTTGGTTTTTTATAAAAACGATTAATTTATTCAATAATACAATATAATAAAAAATAAACATTAAAAAATGTTAACAAATATTTTAATATCAGTGCTGTTTGTTTGCTGTGCCGAATGCAAATTTCCCGAGGTGGAGAAGAAAAAAAACAATTACATAGTTTTTTGGCTATATTAAAATTTCTAGTTATTGCAAGTATTATATAAGTCTAGCACTTGATACGCCCGTTATTATTTTGTTTCAAATTGATTTCATTAATTTGTGTGTGATCTAACTAATTTTAAGCTTTGATACCAGATTTGCCAAAAAAAAATTACTTACACGTTTCATTATTGAAGACACACTTGTGTATACGAAAACAGAAGATTTTATTTTTTGAAACGATCGTGATCGTGATTTGGTCGTTTGGCAAACAAGTAGTACATCATTTAACGAAGTTTGCAAGAATTTATAGTTCCGCTGTCCTCTGCAGCTGGTCTCGTTTAGAATTTTAATTTTTTTTTTTATAAAAAATAAGTGCGCATTCGACCTCCATCTCACCTGATGGAAAGTGACGATGAGGTCTAGGATGTAGGATGCACACCTACATAATGCCTATTCACTCTCGCCTTGAAAAGGTCCAAGTTATAGCGTTCGGGGATCAAGTCTGCAGGCAGGGAATTCCATTCCCTAGCCGCTCGCCATACAAATGTGGAAGCGATACGCTTCGTGCGAATCCGGGGAATGTTCACAACATAAGGGTGGAACCCCAGGCCACGTCTAGTCCCCCGATCATGGAAAGAGGAAGGCGGAATCTAATTAAGCAATTTCATCGCACACTCTCCGTGATATATCTTGTAGAATACCGATAAGCTGGCAACTCTACGCAGTGTTCAAGGCTCTGCAGCTTCGCCTCTATTCCGAGTCACCTATAAGCCTCTTGGCACGCTTGTCTATTGAATCCAAGGTAGCCAGTTGGTATTTAACAGAGCTATCCCATAAGTAGCAGCAGTATTGCATACACGACCGGACTTGTGCTTGGTACAGCTGAAGCAACTGTCCCGGTGTGAAGTAACGCCTCACCTTGGAAAGAATGCCAAGCTTCTTGGCTGCATTTTTGGCCATGGATTCAATGTATCTGACGAAGTTCATTTTAGACGACAGGTCCATTCCAAGTAAGTGAAGACGGTCGTCTATCGGTAAGGATACATCACGAAAAGTCGGAATCAGGTGAAAGGGATACCGTTTAGTGGAGAAAAGACACACCTGCGTTTTGGTAGCATTAAATTTGACAAGATTGGCATCGCCCCAATCGGAGACTGCCTTAAGTGTCAAATTCAAACGACTAACCATGGACTCTCGACAAGATTAGATTTCTTCTCCACTGACCCTTGCATTGGTCAAGTACCTGTCCACAAATGTGCTGTCATCAGTATAGCCAAAGGAACCTGGAATTAACTTATCATTTATATGCAGCAGAATAAGGGTTGCGGACAGTACAGAACCCTGAGGAACTCGATATCGCCCGATGTTCGGAAGTAGCCTTTTAAAACCACTCTCATCGAACGTTCACTCAAGAAATCCGAAATGCAATTGCAAAGGTCAGTGCGAAGCCCATTACAGGGAAAGTTGCTTAAAAGGCTTGCGTGGCAGACCCTGTCAAAAGCTTTAGAAATGTCTAAAGAAACTGCAATGGCTTTGCCATGCCCTTCTATAGCCTCGCTCCAAAAGCGACAGGCGTACACAAGAAGATCTCCAGTATATCGCCCTCTATGGAATCCGTACTGGCGATCACTGAGGAGATCGTTGTCAAGGTACGACAGGAGACGGTTATTAAGTACACGTTACATAGTCTTGCAGAGTACGGAAGTGACTGAGATAGATCTATAGTTGACAGGGTCAGCTTCCTTTTTTTAGGCACTGGTTGCACATTTGCAAGCTTGCACGACCTGGGATCTACACCAGTCTCAAGTGAGAGGCGGATACAGGCATGTGAAAATAGGAGACAACTCAGGCGCAGTTACGCAGGATTATGGCTGGAATGCCATCTGGCCCGCAAGCTTTATGCACATATAGAACCAAGTTTTACCACTTAATGCAGAAAAACCGGTCTTCCTCCACCATATTTGTCTTTATTGAAATTTGAGTACTTTTATAGATAGCGTTATGTAACTTCATTATATTCAGCTCTTTCAGTTACAAGTAATAAATAAATCGACAACGATCCTTTAGATGCAGTTTATTCTATTACTCTCATGTTTAATCAATAAATCAATTTATTTGGCGCACTGATTATGAATTTTTCGCAGTTTTAAATACCCGGTTTCCGGCCGGATATTGTTCTACTATCCAGTATCCGGCCGGATAGTAAAAATAGACCGGATAGGCCGGATAACGGATAGTGCCGGATATCCGTTTTGTCTCTAATCTAAACCTAGTTTTCAAAATTAGGCAAAAGTATTTTTACTTCTATTCCATCCTTTTCTATAGAATTAATAGAATAATTTTCATTCATTTGCTATATCATAGAACAAATAAGACAATAAAATCTTAAAAGTAACATGAAGTTATAGTTCTATAGAAGAAATGGGAGTTACCATAACGTGCATGGATATGTACCATTTCATCCCAAAGATATCTCGGCTTGCAGTGGACCGGCGTTGCTACCACTGTATGCCATCATGCACCTTACTGTCCTGGCAAATGCAATCATTTGTTAGTAAATCAATCCTCTATGTTAAGTCTACTATGAAATTTTATATGAAGAATCCTACACATACAGTTTTAAGAGTAAACAGTGATCATTGTGTGAAATTAGTTTTTCTAAAATCAATAGACTTTATTACACATAAAAGGTAGATAAGTTATTGATTATCTTATACTTTAATATACACGTGTACTACAAGATAGGTATTGCCAACCAACAGCTAAAGGTTTACTGTTCATTAAAACTGTCCTCTTTAAAGCTATTCCTTACAGAAATATCAAGCACAACAAAAAACAATTTAGACAAACAATTTGAATACTATTTTCTTTTATTTAGATGTTTACATCCTAGATGATTAATCTTTCTGCATGTCAATTTAGCAATATGTGTGTAACATTTAAAAAGACATACATAGAAAAATATTAAAACCATTAACGAAATGAATTCACTTTCTATCCCCTTGGCAATGTACACAGTAACACTTGGCTTTTTGAGTAATTAAATTAGACCATCACTTTAATTATTTATTCTAGTTTTATAACATTCACACAACAAAATGGAAATGTACATAAAATATGTACTTGATAAGTAAAAAAATATTCAGTAAAAAATATGGAGTTACTCACAATTCTTAACTAGACCTTTTATATTACTCAAGGACTATATTTTATGATTAAATATTATGAAATGTGCAACATTTTGAGCACTCTAAACTAATATGCAAGTGTATAAAACCTGCTGGTGCATTTTGGTTACTTTTATCATTCAAATACTTTTGATGCTGACTGAACTCAATAGGATGAGATACTTGTTTCATACAGTTAACAATATTACTTATCCAATATTAGTGAAGTACCATCCACAAAAGGAATAAAATAAATTCATTAACACTATCACTGTTTACTCCAACAGAGATGTCCAACTGTATGTGTTGAAGGAACCCAATTAAATTGATACTAAAGCAAGCTATAATACCTAGTAATTTCGTAATGATATTTAAGTTTGGCATTTGGGTATTGTTGTTCTGGCATTTTGTCTATATCGTAAATTGGTTTTTACAATAGAAAGTGGATTCTTATTTGAATTAAAATAAGTAAAAGATTTTTTATTTTTCATTATAATACTTGCACATAAAGATTGTAAAAGAACAGACACATTTTAAAAACTTAAAATTTGTATTCAGCTGAATTATAATTTGATACATGTGAAAAATTGTCTATTCAAAATTAAGTATATTTGAAATAACATTTTTTTATTGACAATGCCAGATCAACTAGTAAAACACCGTGTTCAAGGGTTTCAGATTAATGTTTAAGAAGCAGAGCAACTACTGAAAGGAAAATCTCCAAGCGAATGTGAACCCCGCCGTGTAGAGCGGCCAGCGAAGCTGCAGCATGCGCGCTCCCCTCACCTGGGCCTTTCTTCGCACGGTGCCCGCGTGTCAGGCTCGGCTTCACCACGCGGCCCGCGCGGACCCCCGACATCCTACTTCCCTGACTCCTAAGCTCACCACAAATCTCAGCCCCCACAGCTGCCAACAGCACGTAACAACCAACTTATCGATTCGGAAACTCTTAAAAACCTTACTCACGATCACATAACTGTTCACCCAACAACGGAGCCCAAAGCTGACCACTTCACAAAATAATTCTTTTTCAAAAAAAAGCACCGCTTATACATTCGGTTGTTCGATAAAACACTTATATATTTTTTTTGGTTTACATCACGCTAAGACAGAACGTGCACAGAAATACACAAAAGACAATGAAAAAATTAAGTGACGAATTGACTTGACATAACAACTCCGCGAGAACTTCAACACTAAAGTGACAGTCAACTTGACAGAACCACCATGGTGTGCTTTCTCTTTCTCTTTCGGCGTGTAAAAGAGATAAAACTATTCGTGCAATATAATAATAGATAACTATTTATATGATATAAATAGATAATATTGCACCAGGGAAATAATTTTATTATAATGAGATAATATAGACATAAATTACATCTACAGCTTGGCAAAAAAGAGTATGACGCGATGAAAACTGGAAATAAAAAAAGATATTTGTGGCAACACTATTAAAAATGTCAGTGGTGTCAAATAACCAGCATCTTGTATTAGTAGTTTGTGATCCTCTTAACTTTAGTAGTCCAACTTACCAACACCGGTTAATGTCCTATTAGAGCTTAGCGAAAATTTTTTTTTTTGTTTCGTTTTTTTTCTTTCAACTGTGACATTGGCAAAATCATCAGTTCTCATATTGATGGAGCCATAAAAATAAAAAGTGAAGTGAACTTTAGTGTTCTCCCCCCATATTGTTACTCTATGTAAATTTATCCACTTAAATAACATATATTTATAAATGTTGTTTTGCTGTTTTGTTTTACATTCTCAACTGAGTACTCCAACTTACCAACACCGGTTAATGTTTTTTTTTTTTAAATTTATTAAGGCTTTGGCAAAGCCAATAGCCTAAACATGAAGTTTAATTATGTTTCTGTAAGTATGGCCGCCACAAAGAGGATAGGCAATTTGAGGCGGCGTGCTTGGATTGACTCGGGATTCCTTAAAACGGGCCGATACGGGTATTTTAGTTGGAGATTCGTATAATTTCGCGTTTTAATCTTCGATTAAGGCACAATAGCACTATCCTATTCCACTTTAAACTAGATTTCACAAAATAATTGAAAGTCAAAATAAAAACGACACTTTTCCCTCCAAAAGGTCCAGAGCGAATGCCGGTTAATGTCCTATTAGAGCTTAGCGAAATAATTTTTTTTTTGTTTCGTTTTTTTTCTTTCAACTGTGACATTGGCAAAATCATCAGTTCTCATATTGATGGAGCCATAAAAATAAAAAGTGAAGTGAACCAGTAGCAGCCCCACGCAACCGAGTAGTAGTTTGTGGAGGACACTCGGTTTGTGACCAGTAGCTTTTGTGTTATTGCTGTATGCGCTGAGTAATTTTATACGAAGTTCTGTAAATTCTCGTACGGTTGTTGCTTGTTTTGTTATTTAAAATAAATAAAACGATTCGTAGTAGTGGCAGAACAGTGATATACCAAGTTTTTTTACGATGTTTGGCTGAAATTAACAATGTTTATCAGAGAACAGCCGATATGACAGGTATTTATGCAAATTATTCAATTATTATTACGTTCTACATGTCGAATTACGCACTTTGCACTACTTATAATATACAATTAACAAGTTTTTGTGTTTAGTTACAAAATAGTAACTAAGGTTATGTTTACGTATCATTTATAAATTGACTTAATATTTTTGATTCTTTCAAGACTTAAAATTCAAATAAATTGGTGTTTTTGTATATTTGTGTATGTTTGGTATTTATTTTAGGTAAATCTGTCAATACCATAAGAAAAATTGTTGAAGAAGGTGAAAAAAATAATGGCGTGTTTTCTACACCTGGTAAACATAGAAAAGGTCGACCAAAGAAAGATGATTTTGACCTCTGCGCAATTAGACAAAAGGTTCATTTCTTCTACACGGTAAAAAAACAGACATGTATTATATTTTATATTAATGCCACTTTCTTCAATAAAAACACAGTATTATGTAATAAATAAAAACTTTTTATTTTTTTTCTCAGGTGCCTACACTACGAAATTTATTACCTGTAGTTAAAGAAGATTTGGGATTTAATGGAAGCCGTGAACATCTAAGAAAGATATTACATTCTCTGGGTTTCTCTTACAAAAAATGTAAAACAGACAGATCGGCACTAATGGAGAAGCCTAATATAGCAGCAAAGAGGGAACAATATTTAAAAATTATAATGCATAATAGAAATTTGCCTCAAGAACTCCAAAAACAAATTAATTTTTTGGATGAAAGCTACGTACACTCATCTTACAAGCTTAAAAAATGTTGGCAATCAATTGAAGTTAGTGGAGTGCGACACAATATATCTAAAGGCAAAAGTATTATTGTGCATGCTGGGAGTGAAAAGGGGTTTGTTCCAAATGCACTATTAATTTTCAATGGCACAAACAAGAATGAAGATTACCATTCTGAAATGAATAGAGCAAATTTCACTAAGTGTATTACCGAGAAATTAATTCCCAATTTGACAGAGCCTTCCATTATTGTTATGTACAATGCTCCTTACCATTCGGTAGTCATCAATAAGGCCCCAACCAGTGCAACAAAAGTTGCTGATGTAAAGCTGTGGTTGCTTCAAAACAATATACAATTTGATGAAATGATGCGTAAACCTGAATTGTTAATGCTTGTAAAACGCCACAAACCAGAGGCCCTTTATGAAATTGACCAAATATTGGGGGATCATGGTCACACTGTGGTACGGCTGCCTCCATATCATTGTGACCAGTGCGCAGTGTTGGGCAACCTTTAATTGTTCTGGCAATTAAAGATTGACAATTGATTAATTGTCAATTGCGAAACAGCAATTAACGATTGATCAATTGTTAGTTGCGAGAACCGCAATTAACAATTAATCAACTGTTAATTGCGGTTCTCGCAACTAACAATTGATCAATCGTTAATCGCCAATAACTACAATTAACAATTAGTCAATTTTCAATCTTTTCAATGTTTTTGATTAACAATTAACAATTAAAACTGACAATTATGATAAATTTATAGGGCATATGGGGGTGAGTTAGGGCGTTGGTTGTGGGGGCCTGCTGGGGGCCGGTTGGGGGCCCGGTTGGGGACACGCTTGGGGGCCCCGGATGGGGGGCCCGGTTGGGGCACCGGTTGGGGACCGGGGACCCCCAACCGGCCGGAATTGATTTTAATTGCAAATTTAATTGCAATTAAAATCAATTCAATTGAAGACGCGTCGCAATTGATTTAATTGCAATTGATTTCAATTGAATTGATTTTTTAATCTGATTGAATTATTGATTGAAATTTAATTGATTAACGCCCAACACTGATTGTGACCTCAATCCTATTGAATTGATATGGGGAATTGCAAAACATAAGCCTCTGTCAATGTAGAGTCCATTGACATAAAGGTAGGGATCTAGTTCATAATTCGTTTTTCTTAATGTTATTAAGTTGAACTCATAATCAATAATATTTTTATTCCGACAGATGGCAGCTGAACAAGCATTCCAAGAGATTACTGCCGAAGATTGGAAAAATTCATGCCAACATGTTATTAAAATTGAAAAAGAGTATTATGAAAGGGGTATGACTATGTATGACGACATTGAAAAATTGGTTATTAACGTTAGAGATGAGAGCAGTAACGAGACCACTTCAGAACGTAGTGTGAAGAAGCATTTGGCCAGACCGGCAAAATGATAGTGACGGAGTGAAGATATTTATGTTTTCCATCCGTTACTCTCATCTCTGGACTGTATTCGCACTTTCCATCAGGCGCGGTGCAGTCATTTTGCCGAGTCACAATAAAAAAAAAAAGATTCATGTGATTCAGATGAGTTTGTTGTTGCCGGAACGTCTAGCCAAGATACAATAGAGTTTTCTGGGGTGGAATATCTCGATGAAAGTGTTTTGGAATCTGATTGATTTAAAATTTTATAAGTTTACGCGAATGTTAGACATCGAAGACGACCAACAGCTCATTCCGCCCCGTGACCATGAAGGAATCAGTCTTCGAAACGTCGGGAGTAAAATGAATCTAAAAAACCGCGATATTATCCGAAAATTACTATTTATTAAAAAAATTTAAATTGTTATTTTGTTTTTTTAGAATAAATTGTACAAACAATCAATGGTTCATTTTCCCTTTTATCCTATTTATTTTATTATAATTATTAAACCTGCTCGAATCTCCCTTAGTAAGAAGGAAAAAGGGCATTTAAATTATAAAAACAAATAATTCTGTGAGGGATCATATAATATTGCTATATAATATTATGTAGTTATTGTGGATGGATCGAGTCTGATGGCAATTGAAAATTAACTCTAAGTGCGCGTTTATTTGACGCGAATATGTCGCCGCCGCGCGGCCGTAACGCGGTGACGGAGTTCACGTGTTTAGAGACCGAACTGTTGTAACAAAATACGCTTTATTTATTTAGAATTTACATGTTAAATTCAGAATTCTCAAGAAACAAAAACTTCACCACATTACTGCTTGCCGACTTGGGTTCGTCCAGTTACTAAAATTATGCGAAGTTTAACTACAAAGAAACAAGTTATTATTGCATTATTACTTATACAAATAATGCAAAGAAGAAAAAAAAGAGGTGAAATGATTTTGGGTTCATCCCATTTTGGAAATAAGAGAAGAGTTTGGAGAATTTCATACGAGTCTGGCTTAGCTTTCGTCCACTTGGCGACCGCGTGGACAACGTGCGGTTGTATTATTCCGAGAAATTTAAATGTTGTTGCCTACCAAGAAAGTTTTCGGGTCGTGTGTCTGGGCGCTAAAAGCCTTTAACAATAAATAAAAATAACAAGTATCTAAACATTTTTCGTCGTAGTATATCGGGTTGCCACATATTTGATCTAGGCGCCCTCATTAAATCCATACTCTTTTTTGCCAAGCTGTATATTATCTCTTTTTATTAAAATTATTTCCGTGACTTTTGAATGTGTTGATAAAGAAAAAACTTTAGGAATATTTTTCATAATCGGCCTAAGCTTAACACATGTAATAGGTCAATGCCTATAATAATATATTTATAGACATGGATACTTCAATGATGATGTCGCAATATGTTAGTGGTGCTTTGGTTATTCCGCTAAGGTGTGGTCTTTTCTTTAGAGGATGGAAAAAAATAAAGGAAAGGAGCTGTCTTGTCGACGGAATTAACGTCCCTACCTAAACCAAAAATGTCCACCACAAATGGCGGATTTAGTGTTGTACCATAATCATAGATAAGTCAATATCGACATGCAAATGTATGGCTTGAATGTTGAAACTGTTCTTACTGTGTTTTATGTTTGCAAATTTGTGTAGTTTACTGTAATCAAAGTATGATTAATACTAGGCTATTATTACTAGGCAAGTCATGAGCCATTTTAATCAAAATTAAATATAAAGTTATTTACCAATAAGTGTAACGATGGAATTGCATTATTATGTAACCTAGTAATTGAGGGTCGTATTCTAGAACTCTACTCTATGCTGAAGTCAGGATTTGAGCAGACTTGAGTATGATTTCAAGCACTGGAAATACGACCCTAATGGCAAGGATTTGAGTATGATTTTCAGTGCTCACTGCAATACTCAAGTCCTGACGTGAGTATTGAGTAGAGTTCTGGAATACGACCCTCAAAGTTCTATTCTAACTTGAATGGAGCGAACAAATGAAGATGGTATTTGATCCAATGTTTATGTTCGACAGTCCTATAGTTTCAACCATTCTTTCTTTCTTTTTCACTTGTAGGTAAACTTTAAAAATAATAATAATGAAAACCTCGTAGTGAATTGTTTCAATGACAGAATATCGATAATATGTCTGCTTACAAGAACAACACTATCTCAAAATAATCGTTATCAATAATCATCAAAATATACTAACAAACAGGCAATCTAAAGTAACCAAAGCAAAATTCGGCAAGACTTATGGATAAACTACATATATGATTCAAATTACACGAGATATTTCGGCTATTGTATGATTTATAGGCAGAAAAATAACACGTGACAGTGTAATGTGACATTCGGTTGATTTCCGCTTTTTCTACTGCCGCACCACTTAATGCTGCAGCAACAAATTTTTATCAATACTTAATTGTTCTCACTGTCAATATTTTTGTCCATTTTATTACAATTCATGCGAGTAGTTCACTAAAACATTTGGCCAACATTGGTTTTGACATTTGATGTACTTCCCTTAGATAACCGGATGCGGACGTCAAAGGGTACTCCAAAAATGGTAAAATGAGGACAGTTGGCATTTAAGATGACGTTACGTATTTTCGATTCCCGTTTTGACATAAATCAATGTAGTGCTATCTCTTTGTGGCTTACGACGGCACGCAGTAGTTAAACAAAGACAATAAAATGTTAGTTTTCACCGTCTAAATGCATCATATACATGTAACGTCTGATTTATGTATATCAATATAACATATCCTTTGGTTGCCAATGGTCTTTTGTCTAATTTTTTTATTACTCCTTCAGTCGAAAACATTTTAACATTAACAAAAACAAAACAAAGGTTTAGAATTAGAACAAATCAAAGTAAGTAATTATTTACGTAAATAAGATGTTATGAATGAAATTTTTTCTACCGTACTTATAATAAACGTATACAGTGAGATTTAAAAAACTCATTATTGGATAGTAAATACTGAACGCGGTGGGGAACATTGACTTGGTTTCACAGACTACTTAGTGAACTACGTTCAGACTGCGCACTGTAGTACTTTTTTTTCAGTAGTAAGAATTATTTTTAATCTGTGATACTAATGTCGACTGACATTCCATTTTTTTTTAATAGGTAGACGATATTGTCTTGCAAAGGAGCAGAACGTATACATCCAGACTTAAAAAAAAAAAATTGGTTAGGGGTTCCAGTTCATTTATATAAAATAATACGATAAAATAAAATAAATAAAACAACTCAATATAAGGATTCATTTTATTTGTTAATTTTTCGAACGACATTTTCTTATTAAACTGAAGGGCTCTCTTAGCTCTTCGAAGAAAATCGGACTGCTGTTTAGACTTTTTGTATTCTTTATAAATACTTTTGCATGTCGGTGACAAATCTTTTGCTTTCGTGATTAAACGTCTTCTCATAGGTTTCGGATCCTTAGCAATTCTGACTGTATCCAAGACTGGAAAACACAAAAGTGAATGATGAAGTCAAGTACTATGGAATGTAAAACATTATAACAATATGCAGCTGCACACTTACATATTATGTTGTATGTTACAAGTTTGTTGAATGAGCAGTTGCAAAGAGAAAAACCAAACATTTATTTTCGACTATACATAAGGTTATTAGACAAAGAAAATTAATGTCTGAACTGGGAACAAACTCAGGACCTCTGCATATCCAGCATGGAGTAAATAAAGGTTCATTGCAAACATATTCATGTGGTAATAATACAACAATAATAACTCAAAATTACTTACCAGAGGCTTGAAATGCTTCATTCATCACTGGTTCAATGATTACAGGATTAACTGAAAAATAATTAGGTACTGTTGAGAAACAAGATGTTTCCATCATATAAAACAGATAGATGATGTTTATAAAATAGATCACAATAAACATACATAATTAACATCTACAATAAACGAGGTATTGTGGGAGGGATTGTAGCACCATTTGTCCACACTCACTGATGGTCTATAAGTACAAGTTGCTTCAGAATTGTGTAAAAAATGAAAAGTTGACACACCGTTAAAACCTTAACTATCCCTTATAACTTGAGTCCAACAAAAAAATTCCATTACCTAAGTCCTGTTTAGGCGGTGGAATTTGCGATGGGCCAGACACATTCTGAGACTCACTGGAGCTAGAGGCAATTACTTCTGAAACGTGAGAAATTACACACTATAATTTTATGCAAGTCTCTCCTGTAGGTATTTTGGTATTCTGTGTGTTTATGAGTGAGAGTTGAATAAATGTGATAGGTGATAGTTGAAAATAATAACTTGTTATTTATTCGCAACAAGCATTATGTATACTATATTATCGCATACTATAATATCGAACCAGTAAAGGGGCCAATATGTCAGAATATAAATTTACATGCAATAAATCCATTTCAACAGTTTTACTAGAAAATGTTACAGTAATACAAACTGCATTACTAACCTTTTAGTGGTTCCCTTTGAAAGTATGTGTGGTCAAAGTGTCTTTCACGCGAGTAACTATGCTCCAAATCAATATCCATGTTTTCTGTAAGTGCAAAATAAATAAAACAATTAATATTAATAACATTAAAAGTTATTCCTTCGAACTAGGACACATCCGGGTATAAACACTAACACATGCAGGTATAAACAAAGAATTCAAAACTCAATACTATTTCTTTAGTTTTAAAATTAAGTAAGTACTTAAATTGTTATAAGTTATTAACGCTGGATACACCAACGTCGGCAATTGCGAATTTGTTTCTTAGATGACGGTTATAGTTATTAATATTTTATTTCTACAAAGCAACTACGGGCTAAGTTTATATTAAAAGTCTGTTAGGACGTAGCGATTAGAAGGCTATAGTAAAGTCTGTACTTAAAACTTACCGGCATTGTCCTGTGATGGTATTCCAGAGGAAATCTCGTCTTCGGTAAACAAAGATGGATATGCACTGCCTATGAGACGTAATTTCGGCGTAATAAACCTCTTTTCAAAGTGTTTTTGACATACAAAAACGTTTGAAAGTTCTTCTGGTGATAACTTTTTCAGATTATCACGATTTAGACACTTTAACCACTTCATGAGTCTTTTCTCAGTGCGAGGAAAATGATGTAAAATAGCGTCCTGTCGTGAACTTTTACATACACAGCACTCGTACATTTTGTATGAAACAAAATACAAACACACAATACAGAATTAACGGAGAGGATAAGCACGTCACGTCTTCACTCGATCCGAACCTGTACAAACAAGCTACAAGCCACTACAAGGTAACTAACAAAACAATAACAAAGTGTAAAATACCACGATCACTACCGAAGATGGCGGAAAGGCTACCTGCGCCTGCAGCAGCCAATCACAGCAAGGAAACAAAAATGACAAATGTCATTATTCATTAAAAAAGATGGCCGCTATTGCGAGCGGTTTTCTATAGGTAGATTACCGGCCGCGCTTGGTTTCGCACACAACTGTCGCTGCCACATATGTCTTTCAAAAGAAGATACCGTTGGTTGTTGAAGTTAGGGCGGTTGAAAATAATATGCTGTAATCTGCTTTTTCTTGAGTGCAGTGGGGACCTGTGGTGGGGACCTCGTGTGTCTTTTGTCTAATTCTGCTCAGTGTTACCCTTTGAAATTAGAAATTGACACCTTGTCAATGTCAAATCGCAGTTGTCATTGTCATTAGCCAGCTGATCTCAAAATTTTACTACTTTTATGTAATTTTCGAGGTGTAACATCTCGTCAGAGGTAATAAAACTCGCAAATCAACATTTGAATATTTGGATCAAATTTTCTTTTTATCTTCCGAAGTATTTGTGGAAAATTTCAGTGGTGTAACTGTAGGTATTCTACTTGTGGTCAGATGATAAGAAAAGTGGTGCTCGGGACGGGGTTGCTGGCGTTCGTGCCGCAAGTACGGGCAGCGACGCCGGTGGATGATCAACCTGAGCCGCACAAACCGCCGCCAATGAGGCCCTCAGACCTGCCCTATTATGACTCGCCTCACGCACAATATGGCGAGTAAGTTATTTTTGTTTTCCTTGTGGGCACAATACAGGTAGATAACAAGTTTTTTTACATTATGCACAGGTGCGAGTCCAAATATTTAGCATCCTATGCTTAAGTCTGTATATTGAGATTCAAATTTATTGTATAATAAAATGTAATATTACTAAGACAGGTATATAATACTATACTAACAGTGTTTACACAATTCAATATATTGTTTGTTTAGTGCATTCAATATTACATAATGCAATAAATGTTATATTGCTTAGGAAATAATATTTAACAAAAAACACACATGTTTAAGATCCATTTGTACAAAATATGGGATTGGTTCACCTACAATGTCAATATGGGCCTTTCAAAAGCAAGGGTAAATACACACCTTCTAGGCCAGCAAATCCCATCTCTGATTAATATTGTCACTGACCATTTGATAAAATTGTGTTCAAATGTGTATTTGCCTATAGCTAACAAAAAAGCAATATGTTGGTCTTTTAATCTGTTTTAAATTTTTTTTATTTTACATATTTGTATTATATGAGTAAGATCGACAATTAATTTATAAGGAAATTATTTGTAATGTTTAGTGTTGTATATGTATATGCTGTTAGTATTTCACTATAATGTCTTTTTGTGAGGTCTCAAGTGTCATAATCCTAGATCTGTGGTGTCAAGTAATTTCCGCAGGTTATTCCTATTTTTTCTAAGACTTAATTTAATACTTAGTACATATATTTATTTGTTACACTTAATATATATTAAGTAATGTAATATAATATAATAGTATTTTATAATCTTCTTGTTTGTGTTGAAGTGAAACGAAATTAGATAAATAATAGATAATACAGGTATAACATATTCTTGAGTTGTTGAATTGAACACTATGATATGCAAAGTATGTATTTATATTAAATGTGTAGATATCCAATCTGTAAGTACTATTGAAAATTTTAAATAATTATATTTCAGATTTGTTGAAAGTAAAGCAAAACAAAAAAATGATAGCTATATAAGGAGAGTGCTACTAGAGCCGGTGAAATCTACGAGGGAACAGGTGCAGAGCGTGTTTAAGCATACAGATGGCATCAAGAATACTGTGATGGACAATTATAAGGAGTTCAAGGACCGGACTGACTGTAAGTACGAAACTAAGGTTGTGAATTTGTTACGGAGTTGCTGTTATGTTTTATTTGGCCATTTATCTGTCAGGATCATAGCAAGTGAGTCCTCAATCTCTGCCGCAATCTTATTTATTTATTTATTGGCTATGTACCCATATTATTAAAATTTATACATTAACAAAACATTCTGGAATCTAAAAAAATATATATATAAAATGTTCCATAATACTTAGCCAAGGATTAGATTTTGATAGGTCCTTTGCAAATTCATTACCTCACATGGGTATAACCTTGCATGATAGCTCTTAGGCTTTAGGATGCTAACTCATCAACATTTGAGAGTGTTGTTTGGAAAGTGAAAAGTGCACATCACCAAGCGAACAAGATTTCTACATTCAAGTGTTAGGTGATGCACTAATCATAAATTCACTCTGAACCTTGCTATGGTTTGTTATGGCTTGCTATGGTATGGTGAATTTATGATTAGTGCATCATTAATGTGTTTAGTCATTAATTTATCCGTCTTAACACTGAAAACTCAGATCTGTTTTAAATGGAGATGAAAGCTGAGTTGCGAGAATTTAAAATAGCCGTAACTGACTTGACCGCTGCGGTCAACATTTGTAACAGGCGTGTCGACGATCTCGCGGAGCGCGTGGAGATCGTAGAGCGTTTTCAGCGGGATGGATCGGCCATGGCCGCGTCTTCTCTTCAAAATGCAATAACTGAGCTCAAGCTGGAATTGAACGATCGCGATCAAGAACTATTCAGGAACGATATTGAGATTGCTGGGATTCCTGAACAAAACCATGAAAGGTACATTCTCCTCGCGCTGACCGTAGCAACTAAACTAGGCGTAAATCTGGAGGAACGAGACATTGTAAGTGTGGAGCGAGAGAAGAAGCCGGGTCGCGACCGCGCCCGCGCCCTATCGTTGTGCGGCTCGCACGCCGCGCGCACCGTGACCAGCTGCTGGAGGCCGCGCGCGTGCGCCGCGAGGTTACTACTGCAGGCCTAGGGGTCGATTCTGACACGCAACGTTTCTACGTCAATGAGAGGTTGACTCGCATGAACCGGCAACTTTTCTATAAAGCGCGTGGAGCGCCTTACGCACTCAATGGAAATATGTATGGACACGAGAAGGGAAGATTTTTGTACGCAAGGAACATGGTTCACCGCGACATCGAATACGTACTGACGATGAATTAGTTAAAATTTTTGGTCAATGATACAGTTGGTACAATTCCTTCATTGTATTTTGTTAATAGTATTTATCGCCTTGAGAGACAATTATGTTTTTAAATTTTATAATAATTTGTTTCACGTTTTTAGTTATTGTTTTCTGTTGATTCTATATTGCGCTGTACGCCGTTGCTTTGAATGCTATTTTTTGTTAATTATAAATTCCTTGATTAGTTGTGTGTTAAAACTATTTTATGTATTGTTGAGGGTAACAATTAAGTTGTTAGTATTATATATATTTTATTCTAGGCGCTTATTATACCCCATACGACTAACTTTGATTTCACATAGTCGTATACACAAACACATTACTGTATTTATGTTGTTGTTGTAGTAACTGTGACTTTACATAATGGTGCACACAAACACATAATTAACACTGATTGGCGACACGTAACACTTTTTTGCAAGTTCTTAGTACATGACAAATTTCATCAAATTTCTTTTTTTATTGTTATACAATTTAAAAAAAGCAAAGGATCGACTATCGGGCTGCTAAACGCTGGTTCTCTTGGTACGCGTCATGACGAGTTCCTCGTAGCCATGGAACGTTTCAACGTTGACGTCATGGCCATCAACGAGACCTGGTTGCACGCTGGCCAGGAGGGTCGAGCGCCCGAGCTTCCCGGGTATCGCCTGCGCCATGCCCCACGGCTGGCCAATATACGCTCTCGCGGTGGTGGCGTTGGGTTCTATCTCAAACACGGTATCAATGCCCGCTTCATTACGCATCCACCTGCGCCGCCCGTGGAGCAGATGTGGTTAGGTCTTAATATTAATAATATTAAGATTAAAATAGGTACAACGTACCGCCCTCAATGGGTTAGCGTGGATGCCTTTCTCGATGCCCTGAGTGAAACTATTTCCTCACTCGGAAACTATGATCTTGTCCTCAGTGTTCAGACTCAGGTTTAACCGGGTGACCATCGCCTCTAGCTTACACCGGATCTCTTCACTGTTGTCTCGGGCGTCTGGCACATAACTCACCGCCACTGTGCTGTCGTCTGCGTACCCAAAGATATTATATATGCAGACGACATTCAATTATATAAATCGTTTAAGCCTAGTTCCACAGTAGTGGCCGCAGCCGAATTGAACGATGATTTATGTCGAATAGCCCACTGGTGTGGATCAAATAGTCTGGTTTTAAACTCTAGTAAATCCAAGTTCATGTTATTGGGTACGCAGAGCCAAATAGACCGCATTCAGAGTCAGAATTCTCAAGTTTCTGTAAGGGGTGACAACTTGGAACGTGTGTTTGAAGCCCGTAATTTGGGTCTTCTAATGGATGAACGGTTGCATTTTGAAGGACATGTACTCGAAACTATGCGCAGTTGTTTCTATAGATTAAAGGTACTTTATAAATCCGCAACTTTCTTAGTGTAGACATGCAAATTAAGCTGTGCGATGCAGTAATTCTATCAAAATTAAATTATGCGGGCACAGTAATGGGCGGATGTCTCCTAACCCGGAAGAAAGTGATTCAGCGGGTCCAGCATGCCTGTGCACGTTTCTGTTTCCCCGTTCCCCGTCGATCTCGCATTACCCCGTTCTTAAATAAATTCAACCTCATGAACATGGAGGCGCGACGTAAGTTACATTTTGCAAGTTTGCTTTTCGGAGTAATAAAGAATCGAGAGCCTTCTTACCTCTACGAAAAGCTTACGATTTCTCAACGGAATGTGCGTTTTGCAGTTCGTCTTATGTGTCCTTCCCACCGCACGACTGCCTTTCGTGGCAGTTTCCGATTTGCTGCCACAAAATGTTAGAACGATATACCACCACCAATACGAAATTCCAAATCTGTTGCCTCTTTTAAATTAGCCTACAACAAGTTTTTATTATCAACTCAATTATAATCTCATTACATAAGGTAGTCGTGCATTGCTTGCAAACTTCTTCAAAAGTGATCAGAGCCAATTTGTACAATATGTTAACACTAATCACCTCACTTACACTACATATACTCACCTCACTTACACTACATATAGTCACCTCACTTACACTACGTATACTCACCTCACTTACACTACATTATAATCACATTTTTGGTATTTATTTCATTTTTATTATTATGTATCTAGGTTAGGATTAGTTTATGGTTTTGTTTAATATTTTAAGTTTTGATTTATATTTGTAATTAAGTTTTATACCTAATCTTTATATTTCTTTTTTGTTTTATTTTTATCTTACCGCCTGCTTGGACGAGGCGCCATCTTTCTTTTTGTCCATTTATGGCGCCACTCAAAACCAGCGTAATGAGGCGTTCTTCAACGTCTCATTACAAAAAGCTGAGTGGTGACCGTTTTGGTAACATATAATGTATGATTGTGTTTGTTTTGTATTATTTATTGTAAAATGTTGCCAAATAAATTATTTTTCTTTCTTTCTTTCTAAATAACAGGATAATATAGAAAGTTATTTAAAAAATCACTATTTCTTTAAGTATTCAATATAATAAAGAGATATATTTAGTACCTGCATTATAAATGAATTTACACAACCTGTTTGTACACATATTATTAAGATATTTATATTTAAGTTACAAGAAGAAGTTAGAAGTTACAACATAGGAGAAATTTAAATTTATAATATTTCAAACAAAATTTCTTATTTTGCACATTTCTTCCAGGGATTGTAAAGTACCTTCAAGAGGAAGAGAATAAGGAAGTTAGGTATGGCGCAGTGGTGATGGGAGGCCTTACAGGGTTCATATTTGGTCTTCGTGGAGGCTTTTTCAGGGTATGTTATATGCTTATATGCTTTCAATTGTTATAACATTTTTTAAAGTAATTGTTGTAATGTAATTATTTATTTACTTAAATATAATATGTTGCTGAACAATAATACCCAACAACTGAAATGCCTGGTACCGCCTAAGCTAACACTGTAGCATGTGACATCGCAGCTAGTACTTCCAATACGATTGTATAAGTATTATTCGTAGTGAAGAAAATATGTAGATATATAAATGTAGCATGACATACCCTTTGAATTTTATTAATCTAATTATTATGAGTATATTTTAAAATGATAATGTGAATTAATTGACAAAATCCGTTGCTATTTCAGAGGATAATCTATACGAGTGTTGGAACAACGGCAATGGGCGCAGTCTGCTTCCCAGAGGAAACAAGCCAGCTGGCTGCGAAAAACGGTGTGCTGGCCAAACAGTATATTAACATTGCATATAATTTCTTTTATGGAGGTGAGATAATTTCAAAGTAATATTTTATAATGTGACAAGTTATGTGTGTATAAGTGGGATCACTTTACAATAAATAGATTTTTTTAATAAAATTACATCATTTTCGACAAAATTACAAATTTTCTAACAATATTACAATAACAAACTTACAAAAGTTTTAACAATACAAAAATTTTAACAAAACTAGAATAAATTACAAAATTTCGAAATAAATTAAAATTTTTCAAGGATATTACAAAATTTTTAACAAAATATCAAATTTTTTTATCAAAATTCTAGTTAAACCGGGCGATCCACAACTTGAGGTGAAATTCCCTGAGCTATCTTTCCCCAAAGATTTCTCAGGGTTCGTGGACCTCACAGTGTCAATGGCATCTAGCATCAAACAGGCTTTAATGCCTCCACCCACTAAAGAGGAGGCAGAAAGCAAACCAGAGAAAAAGGAATAGGTACTCATTTAGGACAATGCATGGTGAAGGCTGTGTGAAGCTTTTTGTTTCGGTTTACCATAAGTGCTTTTTTGGTTTGGACTGCTTCATTAGTCTGGTTTGGAACTTGCCATTAACTCAATTTTGGATTTTTAAGTTCGATGTTTACTTTTATCATTGGCTTTTCAACTGTTTTTTCTTGCATGACGCTATTAATTTTATACAAGTAATTCATAATTTACATTTTAGAAAACAGTGTAAAACTAACGTGACCATATATTTTCCCTCAGAGCGAAACGCCTATAATTTTTTTTTTTTTAATAAAAACGTGTGATATTACGAAATGTTTAATGATCAAACATTAAAAAAATAAACTAATCTTGTGTAGTCTGGTGGTCTGACTTTATTATACGTATATTTTTCGGGTAAACGAAGCTTTAATATTTCAGGTTTAGTTTTTAAATACGTACTTGTCCTTACTCTCTCCTTACTTACCTTACCTTGTTGTACTATTGTAATGTCGTATGGTACCATTCTATGGGGTGACTCCACTGATTCTGACAGGGTATTCATTATTCAAAAACGAGCAATGAGGATACTTGCCGGAGTAACACGAAGAATCTCTTGTAGGGACTTATTTGTGAGACACAGGATAATGACCATGTATTTGTTGTATTTATATGGAATAATCACATTCATACGAAAAAACTTACACAACTTTGAAAGGCATTAAAGCCGTTATAACACTCGCTCCACAGGACGACTGAGGGTCGTACCGCGACGGTTAGCACTCACTGAAAAAAATCCGCGCGTAATCGGCCCGGCTTATTATGAGCACCTACCCGTTGACTTAAAATGAGCATAATGATGAAACATTTGGTCGTCGACTGAAAGACTTTTTGTTGAATAATGCGTATTATTCCACTGAAGAATATAGGGGCATGGTCTTGTAATATATGTTGTAATTTATAGATTATTAGGTATAAATATTATTTTACAGAAATGAATAAATTACATAAACTTTATGCATACAATCATTATATTGACATAATTATTATTATATTATTTAATATGTTCCTACATTATTTCACATAACTATGTTAAAATTACGTAGTACAAACTTGTAGTGGATATTTGTAATTTTTTGCAATGTAACATTTATTACTATTTGTAACGATTCTTGTAAATAAATCTAAATCTACTACGGCAGACACATCACGACACCTATTCATTCCCACCAAAAATGTACGGGAAGTACGGACACACAACTAAAAGGCGCGGGCGACAAGACTAAGTTGCTGCTACGCTTTCGCGCTATTTTTTAAAATTTATTGTCACATGTGTCCTGCTTTGTCAAACATTGTCTGGACATTTTAAAGTTGATTTTGAGGACAGCGAGACACGTAGCTTGAAAGCGGGACGTGTGGTCACGTTATGTATAACTGCACCCTGCACTGCTGCGGTCTAGGTGTTTATATCACATACCTACTCACTCACATTATTTCTTTTTTTTACTGTGGTATGGGGTCAAGAGCACGTCAAGCTTGACATTTAAGATCAAACTCTATGCCGCTTACGATAAGAACGGTCCAAAGTGTCAAGCTTGACGTGCTCTTGACTAGAGATGAAACGGATAGTGATTTGGCCAGATACCGGATATGCGGCGAGCAGCTAAGCCGGATAGCCGATCACTGCCGTAAACATGTCGCGACCGATTTACAACGCGCATTACCGTGATTGATTGATTAGTGAAAGATTGTACTTTCACATTGACGATTTGATTTGTTGTAGTCACTTGGTTATTATAAAAACGATTAAACGATACTAACAAATCCATAACAGAAAAATGTTAACAGTGGAAAAAAAATCGCAAATTCGCCAATAATTTAATATCAGTGCGGTTTGTTATGCCGATACAACTTCAACTTCAACTTTGGTATCTATGGCTCCGTCGTTTTGCGCGACGATTTCGCCAACGTCAGGGTTGAAAGACATGTAGTGCGGTGGTGAGATAGATTGCCGGTTATTAAAATACTTAGGCGGTTATTATGCACATTGACGGTTATATAATATATATATATATTTTAATGTCATTACAAAAATATAATTTGAGGGCTCATGTTATTTTCTTTCTTGCAAATTTCTCGGGGCGGAGAAGGAAAAAAGCAATAACGTCATAGTATTTAAAGACAGTTCCAATCAACGTGATCGCGATTCTTTCATTTGGTCGTCTGGCAATAATAAGTAGTACTTAAAAATTTTAAAAGTTTGCAAGAGTTTATAATGAAAACTGTCCTCTGAAGCTGGTCTCGTTTATATAAATAAATAGCACCAACTTTTACCATTTAATGCAGAATATTGGGTCTTATTGAAATATAAGTACTAAAGTACCGACAGAGGGCGCAATATGTAAACATAATATATCCCGTACTACAATTCATTAAAAATATTAAAAGTGATCATTTTTGCACCAAAAGTGAATAGAAGTGCTTCTAGTGCTACAAATACCATGTGTTAGTGTTAGTGGCGGTTGTCGATGAAGAAATTCGTAAATATTGAAATCAAAGCAAATTTGGACTACGCAGGTCAATAAAAACTAATTTCATGTAAATTTTTCGCAAATAACTTTTCATGCACGTAACCAAGCTAGAAGTGAACACCTTTTGAGAATTTACTATGAAAAAACACGTACCAGTGAACGATAATTTCATATTTACTTTAAAAAAAACCGTTAAACACAATTTTTTTTGTATGTACCTTGTTCGCAAGCGCAATTTAGTCACAGCGCCATCTGTATGAGGGACTAAGAACTAACTTGACATCACAAGTACTACAGTTCCAATTGATTACCTAGTACTTCTACTCATCACTAGATGGCAATGTCAGGCAACACAAAAGTAAAATGTGAAGGATGTCGTCGAGAAATAACAGACAAAAATTTCTTTACATGCGTACTGTGTTGTCACAAATATGATTTAATATGTGCCAATGTACTTGAAAAGCACTTTCATCATCTTATGACACCAGAAAGAAAAAAAATTGGAAATGTCCACAATGCATTTCAAAAATACCTAAAAAGGGCAATACTAGTACAGCTATCAGACCACAGAATAACTCAGAAACAAAACAGCAAGGAGAACTACAGAGTACATTTAGTTTTGCTGTAAGTGAAAATGTAACACTCCGAAGAAAGACACAGAACAACTTAAATAACGACTCAAATTGTTCAGAAAATAATACCATCCCAGGAGACACAATGTGTAATGAAACATATTTTGAAAAAGCCCATACTAACAATGGAAAACTTGAGTGACATTATTTCAAAAAAATTAGAAAAGAACAATATATCTACTATGTCAATTTAAAAATTTAATACAAATAGAAGTAAAAAAAGCGGTGGCAGAACTTAAAGGAGAAAATAAAAGAAGAATTAAAATTAGAAATCGATGATCTATTGAAACTGAACGACTGCAGAAAAAATGAAATACACCAAATTAATAATGAAATTGAAAATAAAAAAATAAAACTGGAAATAAAGCAAATTCAAGAACACTTTAAAACAACTAATAATAACCCCAACTCTACATCAGAAAATAATAGCAAAAAAAGTAGTACTATATGGTTTTCCTGAATATTACAGAGATTCTGAGTGTGAACTACAAAATAGATTATGAAACATGTTCCACGAAACCCTTCAGGTCAACCTACTAGGTTATATTGAAGAAACTCGCAGAATAGGTAAATTTAGTAACAATAAAACTCGCCCTCTCGTAATTGAATTAATGAGTAAAAGAATGACAAAGTATCTACTTGAAAATAAGCGTTATCTCTACGGATCAAAATTAGCTATATCTGAATTTCTAAACGAAGCTGCACGTACTGAAAGGCAAACTATGCGAGAAAAAATGTTAACTGCGAGTAAACAAGGACTCTACGCAGTCATACGTGACAATAATCTCATAATAAGAGACAATAAAAATGAAAATAGAAATGAAAAAAGCTCGCCTAGATATTCTTACCCATACCAAGAGAAAATAGGCCCTTTCGACTTTAATTTAACTGTTTTATATCAGAATATGCGAAGCTTAAATAACAAAGTTCATATCCTAGAAACATTAATCAAGAAAAACCAATACACGTCATATGTGCTACAGAAACATGGCTCAACAAGGAAAAGCTCGAATTATTGAATATTAAAGGTTACTCACCACGCGCGTCCTTTTGCCGAAAATCCCATGAGAGAGGGGGTTTGTATTCTACTTAGAGACGAGTTAGAGTAAAAAAAGATGGAGGATATTGAAGCATTATCGAAAGAAATGATCTTCGGAATATGTGCAGTAGAAATACCAAAATTTGACATGCTAATAATTAATTTGTATTGGCCAAATAGCAGTAGAGAAATAGAAGTATTTTATAATAGCTTAGATCAACTATTAAATAGATTATCAAAAAAAAAAGCACAAAAATATCATATTTGGCGGAGATTTTAACGTAGACTTCAACAAAAATAATAAACAAAAAATGAAACTACTTCGTTTAATGTTAACATTTAACTTCCACCAACTAGTTAAAGAGTCAACTAGAATTTCGAATACTAGCTCTACATGCCTAGATTTAATTTTTGTAAACTTCAAAAAAAGGCAATGTCAATGAATTTGGGTTTTCAGACCATAAAGGTGTCATATTATCTACACCTTTTAGAGTAGTAGATCCTCCACAGTTGTCATTTTCAAGCAGATTGTTCAACGAAAACAATATCGAAAATTTTAAACAAGCACTTGGAAATATTAACTGGTACCATGTGATCAAACATGAACAAAGTGTAAATGAAAATTATTATTCTTTTCAAGAAACATTACAAGTACTTTTAAATAATTATATTCCTATTAAACAAATAAAGATAAAAACAAAAGTTGAAAAATCCTATCTTACGGTTGGTATAAAAAATTCTTGTCGAAATAAGAGATATTTAAAATTACTTTGCTCACAAACAAATAATAAAATTATTCAGACATATTATACAAATTATACAAAAATTCTAAAAAAAACTGTGAAAACATCTAAAAAATTCAAAACATCCGTAAATACACACATCAAAAGTGTCTGTTTCTGAAAGTGGGGATCAAGTGAATATTTTTGGAATAAAAATTATTTAGGTAAGCAATATTTACCAAATCCAGTCTTCCAGGACGACTTCTTACTTTAATGCTTAAGTTTTATTTAACCGCTTACCCCTATATTTAATTAAAATAAACTAAAATTGATGTTTTTGCAAATTGTGGAAAAAAACTCAAATTAACGGCGTCAATTAAATGACAAAAAAAATGGCGAAAATGATGATTTTGCTCATTTTTATTGTAAAGATAAGAAAATTAATCATCTGTATTTCCACCATTACCACGAATCACACAATTACAGCGATTTGGCATGCTTAAGATGAGTTCATCAAAATCACTTTGAGGAATGGCCGCCCATGTGTTTTGTAACAAGTCAAAATATTGTTGTAGAGTATGTACGGTATGCATACTCGGCACAGCTCTTCTTTGAAGCATATCCCATGCGTGCTCAATTGGATTGAGGTCTGGCGATTGAGCAGGCCACGGCAGAACGTTGATACGAGCTTCGGCAAGAATGCGTGTTACGACTCTAGCCGTGTGTGGACGTGCGTTGTCATGCATTAGTTGAAATGAATCACCCAACTGACCTCGCAAAGGGATGATAACATCTGAAACAATCCTCTCTGCGTAAACTTGAGCATTGAGGTTACCCCTGATCCAAATGAGATCGGTTCTTCCGCCGATCCAAATACCGGCCCATATCATTATTGTTCCCCCACCATATGGATGAACTTCCTGACAATATCTCAAACGTTCATGACGTCCTGATGTTCTCCAAACTCGAGTACGTCTTGTATCCGGTCTCATACCGAAGCGGGATTCATCCGAAAACCGGGTCCTGCGATTGCAGGGTGCAATAGGTGGAACTCTGAGCGGCCTTCGGGATCGCAGACCCACTTCACGTAAACGATTTCGGATTGTTTGATCGCTTATTAGCAAGCCTGAGGAGCTGTGGAGCCTCGTAACCAACATCATGGCGGTCATGGTACGATTCCGTCGAGCAGTATTTTGGATATACCGGTCCTGTCTGCGAGTCGTGATGCGAGATCGTCCTCCATATCGCTCGGCCACGCTGCCCGTCATGCGATAGCGCGTCCAGAGGCGACTTATGACGCTCTGTGTAGTGTTAAGACTGAAAGCCACAGCACGTTGCCTGGAACCAGCTTCCAACATTTCGACGGCTCGCATCATCACTTCTCGGGTTAAATGATGTCGTCTCTCCATAATAATGTAAATTGTTTCGGTTCCGATGCAGATATTGTAATGATTTTGTCAAAACGCTATAACTCATTTTTATACAAAACCACATTGACAATCGATTTTCTTCTTATTATCGAATTTTAAACAATATTCCTTATTTAAATGTTAAAACTCACTTAAAAGTATCAATAGCGATACAAAAAAGTTAATATAATTAACCCTAATTGCAGCAATACTCTTAAACGTACTTGATCCCTAGACACTTTTGATGTGTGTATAGAAATGCTGACAACAAAACTAGAACAATGTGGAATATCATATCAGAGCCAAATAAAAAACAGAGTAGAAACCAAGGTAATATCAACCTAAAAATTAATAATTTACTGATAGATAACCCTGATAAATAACGGTAGCAAATGCTTTTAACTCATTTTTTTCTGATATTGGAAATATTAACCGTGTACCGCCCCCTCAGCTTCAAACCACAATGAAAAATGTGGAAAACACTTTCTTTCTGCTACCCGTTGAGCCAAGAGAAGTGTTTCACATCATACAAAGGTAAAAAAATAAAAACACTTTCGGTGTTGACGGTATTCCACCCAAATTGATAAAAAAATGTAACGAATACTTAACCATTCCGTTTACATTATTAATAAATCAGTCTTTTAAAGAAGGTATATTCCTAGATGCACTCAAAATATCTTTAATAAAACCTATTCATAAGAAAAGAGATAAAACTAATCCAAGTAATTATCGCCCTATCGCTCTTGTACCAACATCTTCAAAAATTTTTGAAACCGCAATGACAAACCGTTTAACTTCTTTTTATGAAAAATATAAAATTTTTGACGGTAATCAAAACGGTTTTAGAAAGAACCGTTCCACTATTCTTGCTATCTATAAATATTTCCAAAAAATTCTAGATATTATAAATAATAGAAAATATGCAATCGGCTTGCTCCTTGACATGAGCAAGGCTTATGATAGAGTCAATTATAAAATTCTTTTAAATAAACTTTACGCAACAGGAATCCGTGGAATCGCTCATGATTGGTTTAAATCTTATCTTAGTAATAGACAACAGCTAGTGGAGGTCAACAGTACAAAAAACAACGACTACGAAATAAAAAATATTAGATCTGATTCAATCCCTATCAAAGTTTCTATACCGCAAGGAAGTGTTCTAGGTTGTACATTATTTTTAATATACATAAATGACCTCCCAAACATTTTGAAAGATCAGTGCACTCTCTTTGCGGATGACATATCTATCGTAACTTGTTGCTCAAACATAGTTGAATTATCTGAAAAACTAGATTTAATACTTGACAAATTAACACATTGGCTTCAAATGAATAATTTACAACTAAATATAAAAAAACGAATTAGAAATATCATATAAGCACAACAATACACCTTTACAAACTGTTAGTTCCGCAACTTTATTGGGAATTGAAATCGACTCCACTATCACTTGGAAGCAACATATACACTGGCCCGCAAACTGTCGTCATTCATTTATGCTCTAAGAAATTTGAAAAAAGTAACCGATTTTGAAACTTCTCTGTCGGCATACTATGCTTATGCTCATTCGATAATCTCGTACGGTATAATTTTGTGGGGTAACAGTTCAGATATTAAAGATATTTTCACATTGCAAAAAAAGTGTATTAGAATATTAACAAACGTCAACCAAACAGTATCATGCAAACCTCTCTTTATAAAACATGGCATTCTCACTGTAACTTCAATATACATTCTCGAGTCTTGTAAATTTGTAAGAAAACATAAAAATCTCTATGCGACATTAACAACCGTAAAAAGGAATAATCGAAATCTACACAAATTAGAAACTACCCTTACCAATCTGCAACTATTATAGTGGCCTCAAGTCCTCATTATATGACTATAAAATTGTACAACAATCTACCAATTAACATTAGAGACATAGTAAAAGACACTGACTTTGATAAAACATTGAAAAAGCTGTTAATTAAAAAATGCTATTACAATATAAATGAATATTTCTGTGATAAATATTTGGAGGAATAATAATAATAATAAGACATTGCTGGAATTTATTTAAAATTATATTATGAAATTGCCTTTGACATTTATTTAATAATATTAAGACTATTACCTATTTTTATTTTGTAAATACTTTTCATTCCATAAATATGATAATGTTGATATCTTTATGAATTGTTAATTTTTATTATTTTTATTTTTTTAATATTGAGTGAACGATAGCTTAAGTACGTGTTAACATCATAACGAATTTAATGCATGCATTGACATTGTTGATAAAAATTTGTTAGTATAATTTATAAATGCCCCTCTGTAATTTGCCATGCCCTTACAGGGCGTCACATGATCCTATACAATGACATAACACCTTAAATTGTATTGAAAAATGTACTGTAACTGTGACATGCAAATTAAAAAAATAATTTACAGACAACGTTATCTAACTTCATAGTTCTTTGAGTTACAAGTAATAAACAGATTGTCAATGATACTGTAGTTGCTGTTTGTCCTATTACTGTCATCTTTAATCAATAAATCAATTTATTTGGCTAACTGACTACGAATTTTCCTTAGTCTTAAATGTCCGGTATCCGGCCGGATATTGTTCTGGTATCTGGTATCAGGCCGGATACCGGATATCCGTTTCATCTCTACTCTTAACTGTATATGCTTCTATTTTTTTTAAATAGTGTTAATTTTCATTACTGTTGACTATTATCTAAGTGGTCTTTTTTTACTTTTAAAAAATAAAAAAATAATAGAAGTATATACACATACTTCTATTATTTTTTAAATAGTATTAATTTTCATTACAGTTGACTACTATCTAAGTGAAGATAAAGTAGACGAACAGACATTACAGAGTAAGTGTTTATCTCCATAAATATTAATTTAACAAAAGTAGAACCTTTATATACATGATATTATTTGTTCCAGGTTCGTGAACCAGGTTTTAGTGTATTATTTATTTGTTCCAGTATCATTTGTAAACGAGTTTTGAAATAAAACATTATTTTTATTTTCAATCCAGTTTATTTCCTAATGTTTCAATATTCATTTGCATATGTTTACACTTAAAAGCTAAGCAAATATCATTTCCTCCCTTCGTTTCTTAGTGACTACTGTACCAGGCTTATGCTGCGCCTCTGGATGGTTCATTAGCTCTGGAGGACAAGTTGAGACTGAACTTGCGAGTAACACTTGCTTCAAATCATAAAAGAGTGCAGAATCCTCCTTAGTTACGAATGATACGGCTTTGCCTGTCTTGCCTGCACGGCCGGTACGACCAATACGATGCGTATAGTCTTCAATTGTTTTCGCCATGTCATAATTAATAACCATACTGACATCCTTGATATCGATACCACGACCTGCGACATCTGTCGCCACCAGTATATCTTTTGAACCATTTTTGAGACTTGCCAAGGCAAAGTCACGCTGCTCCTGTCCTTTACCACCATGCAACGTGCAAGCATTGAAACCAAGCTTCTCAAGACCTTTGGCAAGCACATCTGCGCCTTTCTTTTGGTTGACAAAGATAATAATTGGTGGTTCAACTCCACGTTGCAGTATTTCAGTGAGTTTTCTTCGTTTCTCATTCTCACCTATCATGAAGACCACCTGTTCAGTTCTGTCAACAGGTTTACCAACAGATCCAATGTACACAATAGACGGCCTACGGAGATAAGTTCTCGCTAAACGCTCTACAGCAGGTGGCATAGTTGCTGTAAACATCACAGTTTGTCTGTACTTCTTCTTTGAATTATAATTCGCCAATAAAACATTAGCATCTTCTGCTTCATCTGTGTCGGGTTTGATATTTGAAACTGGCATATATTCAAGAATTTTCTGGACATCAGGCTCAAAACCCATATCAATCATGCGGTCAGCCTCATCAAGTACTACATAAGTGCAACGGTTCAGTACTAAATATCGATTTTCTAAGACATCTATAAGACGACCTGGTGTAGCAATGACAATCTCACAGCCCAATCTCAGTTTAAAGCCCTGATCTTCGCGCGAGAGACCTCCCACTACAACAACAGATGTGATGCCTAATGGGATACCAAATTTATTAGTTTCCTCTTCAATTTGTTGTGCCAATTCACGAGTTGGCGCCAAGATGATGGCGTAAGGACCTTGATCAGCATCCTCCATACGCTCATTCTTAGGTAGAGACTGAATCCAAGTAAGTAAAGGAATAAGGAAAGCCAAGGTTTTACCAGAACCAGTTTCTGCAACACCAATGATATCTCTGTTTTGTAAGCCAATGGGTATTGCTTGTCTTTGAATGGGGGTTGGACTTTTATAGCCAACTTTGTTGATTATATCCATGATATCAGGATGGAAGCTAACTTCCTTCCATGAACGGATGGGATTCGGAATCTTTCCTCCTTTGATGGTAATATTGTAATCTTCTCTAAAGATTCGCCAATCTCTTTCAGTCATTTCATCATGATCCTTTTCTGACCAATGTCGGTCATCCCACTTCTGCTTATCTTCCTTCTTCTTAACTTTCTTAAGACGTAACTTCTCTTGTTCTTTCTCCAATTCTGTCCTTCGTTTTTCCAATAAGTTTCCATAGAATTTGCAGTGATCTTTCTTTTGTGCTTTAATGTCAATGCCAGCAATGTGGCCTCTACCAAAAAATTGTACTTGATGGCGCTCTTTGTACAAGGCATTGTAATCATTTGAAGTGTCTTCAGAAGCATCCCAATCAAATACAAATTTCCTGTCATTAAGCCTTCGGACTCTTCGTTTCTTCTTTACAATGCCAAGATAGCGAGCTTTGATGGCTTCTTCTTCACGTTCCTTGTCTTTTACTGTAGCAAGATCGTCATTCTTATCTCTTTTTTCATCCCTTCTGTCACTTCCAGACTTTCGATCGTCATATTTTCTGTCTCTATCTCGTTCTCTTTCCCTCTCCTTTTCACGTTCTCTCTCCCTATCACGTTCCCTCTCCTTTTCACGTTCCCTGTCTTCTTTGTACTTTTTATCATCATCTCTTTTAGAGGGTCCAGTGAGGTCTATGGTGGTTATAGTAGGGCGCTCAACATGGGCTCTCATTGCTTCAACTTGCTCCCTTCGCCTTTCCAGAGCAAGCTGAGCTCTTTGCTCCTTAGTGAGGAATACAGGTTTGCTCCTGGCTTCCTCCTCGGCTTTTTTTTTAGCCAGTAACTCTTCCAATGACAGTGGTTCACGTTTCATAGGCTTCTGTTCCTCTTCCATTTCCACTTCCTGTACTTCATCATTTTCTTCTTCCCTTTTCGGTTTATTTTTGTCTTTATCTTCACGTCTGTCTTTATCTTTGAAGTCCCTTTTCTTAGGACTCCGTGACCGGCCGCGCTCTTTTCGTGGACTTCTAGAGCGTTCACGGTCTTTTTTAATAGGACTACGCGATCTGTCCCTTTCTTTCCTAGGACTCCTAGATCTATCTTTGTCTTTCTTACTAGGGCTTCTAGACCTGTCTCTTTCTTTTCTAGGGCTTCGGGAACGCTCTCTGCGCTTGGTTTTGTCCCGATGTGATTCACGGTCGTCATGGCGGTTGCGTTCGTGTCTGTCTCTAGAACGGGACCGTCGTCGATCAGGGCTACGTTCACGCACCATTATTTATAAAGTAAATGAAAGAACTTACAGGATATTCATAGATATCGTTGATATTTCATAACTTATATGACATTTGGCGTAAAACTACGTAGAATGTTTTTTTTTATAGTGTAACGGCTTTGGCATAAAGCTATACAGCCTTTTTCTTGATCTTTCACGCAAAGAACTTAACTTTAGTGTTCTCCCCCCATATTGTTACTCTATGTAAATTTATCCACTTAAATAACATATATTTATAAATATTGTTTTGCTGTTTTGTTTTACATTCTCAACTGAGTACTCCCGTAGTCCAACTTACCAACACCGGTTAATGTCCTATTAGAGCTTAGCGAAATTTTTTTTTTGTTTCGTTTTTTTTCTTTCAACTGTGACTTTGGCAAAATCATCAGTTCTCATATTGATGGAGCCATAAAAATAAAAAGTGAAGTGAAGTAGAGGATGGAAAAATTTATTACATATTTTGTTTATACCCCTAACTATAATGCCCCTAACTATTAATCTTTTAATATTTATGTCTTACGTGGCCCAAAACTTCTATATAAATACGTGTATCCGAAAGTCGATGATTTCAGTCAGTCTTGAATTGAAAGGTGTTCGTTGTGATTTGTTTTGATTTTGAACATTTTGCACGAGTTTCATTGTTTTAGAAGTTTGTTTTGTTGAATATTGTTCTCCACTAAACGTATGAGAATTAAATAAGTGATTCTTTTTTTTATTATATTGATTTCTGTTGTGAAACAAAATGGAATCTTCCAAAATTAAAGTTGGGGTAACTTCTGCAGCGATTGCGCTAACTTGCGCTGGTATTACTTATGTTGTCTTGAGGTACAAGTATCGATTGCGTGATGCTGCAGAGGCCTTAAATTACCTAACAGTGAAAACTGTTACTACTGAGAAAGTTTGCGACGAAGTCATCAATGTAATACGGAGGTAAGTTTAATTTGTTTGCGTGTTCATAACCTCTTAAGCTCTTGAGTAGGTACAGTCATCAACATATGCAATAAATGGATTGTTTTGTGTTTTTTTTATAGTTAAATTATTTCTGTAACATAATATTTTATCTGCATCAAGTGCCAAAAAGTTATCACCACAGTTTAAATAAAAAATTGTGTGGATTACTTTTCCTAGGAGGACTAAAATTCATAAAGCTGTGGGCTTTGACTGTGAGTGGGTGACAGAGCGAGGCAGAAGACATCCAGTTGCTCTAGTCCAATTATCCACCTTTGATGGCTTCTGTGGCCTATTTCGATTGAACCTGATGGCAACAGTTCCCAACTCTCTAAAGGTTAGTCATACAGAATCATGCAAGCTTAAAATGTACAGTTGATTGTATGTTTATTTATTCTGTACTTTATGTGGTAAAAACTCTTACTAACATATTGAGTTCTTAGCTTGACGCAATTGTTACTCATTGAATATGAAAGTAAATTGGAAGTATTTGTTTTTTATACTTCGTTTCAATCCATTTTGAACAAAAAGCAAACAAACAAGTCACTGACCTGTCCATAGACGGTTTAGTGATGGCCAATTGTAACGTCAACTACAAATCAATCAATTAATTAATTGAATGAATCGATTCATTCAATCGAGTCATACTAGCGGTTTTCCTTACATAACCTATATAAGTATATTTAAAATTTAAATTTAAATCCTCCTTCAAATCCTTACACTTAGATACTCGTTCGATTGCAATTGAAATATTCAATGTAATAATCGATTACTAAATCTTAATTGATTGATCGAATGTTTTTTTTTGAACAGCACTATGCAACCATAGGGAAGTCATAGAAGTATAGAGGAATAACAACCTCACTTTTGGACTACCATTTTTCAAATACGATTTTACGATGCTATTCAAATGAATATTGTTGGAAAAAGAGTTGATATATCAAATTGAAATCTTCGAAATATATGTGAAAGTGTTACTTATTCAATTTATTGAGTTATTGCTTTAGAATTTTAACCAAACAGGTTTGTTTACTTTTTGTTGAAAATGATTTGGAATAGACTATAAAACAAACTAGTGTTTCGGACCCTTTACTGATCCCATGGCTGACTAAGGTGGCAGCCATTAATCACTAATGCTTAATATTGGTTACAAATACCCATGATTTATGTGACTCATTCTTATTTCCTGATTATTTTGGGTAGAAATAGTATATGATGCAATTATAATATGAATAAGTATCATGTCATATCAATCTGTAATTTGATATATAATTATGAAATATTGTTATCAGTGCTGTTCAATCAACTGTTTTTTATATTAAACACTAATGTGCACTTGTAAACTGGTTTTTTTTTCGATTGTGATTAATTTAATTGTAATTTATTGTAATTTCCATTATTACTTAATTAATAATAAATTTGACTTATTAAAGATTCATATTCTTAAAATAAAATAATTTGTAAAACAGATGTAGCGTTAGTTGGAATGTTCTTTGTAACATTAAAAATAAAGTATTTAATGAACAACTTTTGTAATTATAGTGAAAAGATAGTGTGGTTTGCATTAATATTAGATATAACTGGTTGTTGACTTTACCACCTCAGTCAACCATGTCCATGGGACCTGTAAAGGGCCCGATACATTGGTTTATTTGTAAAAACAAATGTATGTCATGTAAATCTGGAAAAACAGTTTGATTTCCTATGTGTAACAATCGCGAAAACCTAAGAACTCGATAATTTAATTTAATTTATGACTTATGTATATTTGTGCCTTATTAAAAAATCAATAAAGCAAAATATTAAAAATATTATTATTATTAATGATTTTCCGCTGTTTTGAAAATCATTACGAAATCACAGTTCAACAGTGTAAAAATTATTCTAAAAATTATATGTAATAATTAATCCATAACACCTTAAGCAGGCAAACTTTCTTACTTTGTTACTATTAAGACATTATTTTGTTTGCAGAGTCTTTTGGAAGACGAAACAATCTACAAAGTTGGTGTGGCTGCTACAGATGATGCAAAATATTTGTATCAAGATTATTCTGTAACTTTAAAGTCCACGATAGATATACGTCATTTGGCTGAGTTGTGTAGTTATAACCCTGGTGGTTTGGCTGCTTTGTCCAAATCTTTGCTGCGTGTCGTCCTGGACAAAAGTTGGAGGGTACATAGTATTTTCGTCTCAATTTAAAATTTTATTTACAGGTATTCTATAAAAGTAGCATTATTACTGCTGGCAGAAGACAAATCAGTTTTCAGATACTGGTTTTGTAAGCGACGTGGCCACACACATATACATATATCTAAAAAGACACTGCAAGTGTAAAAACCAAACGTGCAACATTTTTTGTACCTCCGAAGACGTTACAAGCGCTATTTAGTGATGGGATACCTTCGGCACTAAAACTATTGATTAAATCGAAAACGCGGACGCAACACGTATTTAGAAAAAAAAGTTAACTAAAAAAACAACAATTACTTCATAGAATATTTTTATAACATTTTCTAAGGTCATAACAATTATCATCCCTTTGATTCCTAATCATCTCATATCAGAATCGAAAACTGTGTTGCATCAAGTGAAAATCACTAAATATGAAATTTGATCAAAAACATAACACAAAACTGAATGCATTATATGAAAGTATCCCTCGTTCGATATTCATGGCGTACTAAAGAAGGTTCACAAGTGTACCGCACCAAGTAAAAGCCGCAATGTATTACGAATCACGCGGCATAACACTTGTTTGCATATATGTTTTCTCGAAATTCATTCAAAATGAAAATAGTTTATTTAAAAGATAAATTATGCATATTCTGATTACAAAATTACATAACTGTGAAAAGAATTTCCCGGTTTATTTATCTTCTCACAGCTGTGGTGGTTGTGCGTTTCTAGTGGCACAATTAGGCATTTTCCGCGTTTTCCACTGATGTTTAACTAAGATAACGGTCGGGCGCGTTGCAGCAGCAACTCAGCGTATATAGCTTATATTGCAATGCATTGGGCACGCGAGATAGGTACACCTGCGGTGTCTATCTAGATGTAGGTATATATCTGTGGACGTGGCCAATATAATTATTGCCTTCTTTCTCATTAGATACGTTGTAGTAATTGGGAAGCAGACGAGTTAACACACCGACAAATAAATTACGCTGCCGCAGACGCGCATGTTGCAATCAAGATTTTCGTGTGTCTGGTGAACCAGTATAGTAAATCTACAATACTGTCTTTGTTAAATAATAATAATATTTGGAATAACTTGGACAAGCTATGTGCTAATTACGTGGACGTTAACTTTAAAACCAAGCAAACTGTTAAACAGAAGGGAGATGTGACGTAAGTATTGTATTATAATATTATGTCCATCATAATATCTAGTCTGCGGACTAAAAGGGCCCACTCACTACCTGCATGGCAGTCACCAGAAACTTAGATGTTGAGAGTTTCCTCGATAAATGTCAAATACTTATCAATGGATGTAGTTATATTGACTCTAAAACTAAACTTCGACACACGTTACTCCGACTTATAAATTGTTACTTTGACATGATTTTACTCAGACACAGTGGCGTACTACTCCGACAACACAGACGATGTACTCCGATAAGAATTATTATCATTACAAACCCATGTAAAAAACGGTTAACATAACATTTTCGTAATGAAAATTGCCCACACACAAGCACTTTTTTTTTATTAAAGTTCCGCAGCGCAGCGATCTCTGTGAAACTGTAAGTTTATTTACTTTGATGAATTATTATGTTAAGTTGTAATTTCTCTGTTTGTTTTTGTGATTATTTTTAAGTGTCATTTTAGTTGTAATTATTTGTTTTATTTATTGAAATTTTGTCTGTTTTCGCTGTTTGAGTTTGTCCAGGTCACTCGAAGTAAATTAAAGAACTAGGTACTTTATACTCCCTATGGATTAAACATGCACTTTACTCTCGCTACGTAAGGCTAATTGACGTATGTTTAGAGCATGAGAATTGAAAAAACTATTAACTACAGACCTACCGCTTAACTGAGTCGATTCCTCAGGTAGCTGCGCGGCGCGAGAGGAGTGACAGTTTACGTAACAGTTATGTCGCGCTACACGGGATAATTTAAACAAA